TTTTGTAGCATAATAGTCATACATATAAAGCACATCACAGGTACTGTACAGCCTCCTAGAACTTTTCCTTCTGTATTTCCACACTCTTGGGGTTACACATGGGGAAGCACTTAAGACACTGAAGAGTCCAAGTCCAATTACCAGAGCTGTCAGAGTTCTCTTTCAGTAACTTTTTTTAAAATATTTTTTCTTTTATGCACGATAATAATGATAGCAATAACAATGTGTAGCATATCATTTGATGGTATTATTGATAAATAATATATAACCCAACTGTGCTTATTTTGGGGTCTATAGTATGAGTTAATAAAGACACATATGGGGATGCACTGCATTAGCATTTGAAAGATGTTCTAAATACACAAGGGCAGAGCTGTGGTTCCTGTAAAAACCACTGATGGCTGCAAAATAAAAACCCTCCTGTAAGGTAAATAACGGATGGAGTAAGTAACAGCCAGGTGCAAGCAAGAAAAAATACATTCAGCTGAGTTTTGACAAGAGCTGGTGTGTGGGAAGGAAAAAAAAGCAGGAGAGACTCTCTGAGTCAGGAGGGTACATTCAACTAATAGAGGCTTTCTAAAAGGTGAAAAATTCCTGAAGCATTTTCCTTGCCGAAATGCAGAGTGGGACAGATTTCACAGAGGCAGGCTGAAGGAAAGGCTCTGGAGAACACACCAAACAGCACCAGGGTTAGGAACGTGGTAAATTGTTTTCCCAGTGGGCTGTCAACATCGCCATTCTCAAATTGTGATGGAAACAGGTGCCATCCTGATGGGTGTCAAAGATTGCAGGAGTCTAAATGAGCAGGGTGTTTATTTTAAAAACCAAAACACACAAAAAAAATAACCCCAACCCAGGAACCTTTATTATGTAATCAGAAATAATTATGGGAAATTTTAGTCTTTTTGAACATACTGCTGCATTGCCATCAAACAAGACTTCAACCATAACTTAGAATTTCATGCCTATTAGCTGTAGCTTTATGGTCTGGAAATCAGATATAATTATTACAGAAAAACTCTTTTTCTGGGTCTCTTGCAGTTCTCGGATCCAACTGGCTGAAGGCCACCACAGGACCAAAGTTTTTTAGAGAATGTTTTATATGTCTGTCTTTTATTAAATTTTCTTGACAAAAATGAACTAGAATTCTGAATGGAAACAGAGTTTGTGTCCCTCTGTACTTAAAAGCAAACAAAAGAGACCAGGCTGTTCCTTAAATTTATACATAAAATGGTGTATGTCTTTGCTCCATCTCAGCTGATTTACCTACTCCTACTACAAGTGTTTTCCTAAAAGCAATAAACCCTTCTGATGCAATTATTTCCTTCCAGAGCTGTGACATACCCCCATATATATTGCCTGTTCAAAATAAGCAAGTACTGGAAACAGTTTTTTACATCACTACAGCTTTTTACATCACTGCAAATATAAGCCAAGATCTAGCAATTACTTCTCAGATAATAGCTTTTCTCTTGGAAAAATAATCTTCTGGAACAGATATATTCGATAGATCAGGATAGACCTAGAAAAATAGGTTTAATTAATTACCAGATAAGTCTTACAGGCCAAAACTCTATTAAATACATCACAATAAGCATAGCGCAATTATGTGTTGTCATCAAGCTCTTGCTGAACATCATATCCATGGACAGTCTGTGGATCATGGACTTCAAAGTTTTGTCTATGCAAGTTTAGCCTTTCTTTCCCCACATTTTTTTAAATCCTCATCTCCCGGTTCAAAAGAATTTTTTAATCCCCCTTCCTGCCCCCCCTCCCAAAAAAAACCCAAAAACCAAACAGAAATTATTATTCCCATAAATATTCAGCAGCTGTGGTAATTTGAAAATTTTATCCAGTTCCTATTAACAAATAATTGTGGCAATATTTTACAGACTTAAAAGCAAACCAACTGCTGCCAATTTCCAATATGTTTCTCAGGCCCTTTGACAGCTCTAAATGTTTCTGGAATACACTTAATTTTTTCAAATGATAGGACTGCGAGAACCAAGAGTGCTTTGCAGAGCAAGAGCGCTGGGGGATTGCAGCTTTATAACCAAGTGTGACACTGAAATCTGACATCAGTTTCCAAAGCCGCACTCAGCAGCACCTTTGATCTTGTTATTGGGAATATGAATAGAAGCACAGCACACCCCCAAAGCAACAAGAACAGGTCAGACCTACTTACACTGAAACAGAGCAAACCACCCTAGCTCTGTTTTGAGGCTAGCGGTTTTGACATTGGGTCTATGAAGACTAAAACACAGCTCTGAGGTTTCTTTTCTGTCTATGAGGTTTTAGCTGTAGAGCTATAGATCTAATGTATAGGCATCACCTAGTGCAAATGATATTCTGAGGCTCAGAAGGTTGCCCATAAGCACCTTGGGAGCCTGTATGAGGAAGGCTGCTGGCACACAGTGTTACGCTTTGCTCCTTCTACTTGACCATGATGATGCAAGGGTAAGACATTTACAGCCTGGATTCACCTGACCAGTTTTAGACTTCTGAGTGCTTTTGGGGTGTGATTCATCCCAGGAGAGAGATCAGACAAGCTATATCCAGCACTTACTTTACTTCATCCACCCTAATAGGAGGCAAGGGTGCTTAGCTGAGACACAGACACGGGCACTGTTGGTGGTTTCAGATAGGGATCCAGCAGGTATCTCAAGTCATTTAATTTCACTCTAGCTGCATGTCTCAAAAAACAAAGCACCATGGGGAAAATGTTATTAATAAATCCCAAAGCCAGGCAATGCATTTGTGAAATACCATGGGATTGATGTGAACAGACTGAAAATCACAACTTCAGGGGTCATAACTTACAAGATGACCAGATTCTTCAGATGTTTCTGTTCTCTTGAAGGAAAAGCCATGTCTATGATTACACCAAAAATTGCTTTAAACATCCATCTGTTTTACACTCATTAAAATTCACCCAGCTACTGCACATTCCAAAGCACGGGGACAGAGATACATTTACTAAGATATATTTACACTAATCTGACTCAAATCAATGCTACTCATCCAGGATCAAATTCCTTCCCAATGCGAACAGCCAAAGTGAGTTAAACTTGCAACATAAAGTACTGCCAGGGTCCTATTTTGAGAACTCAAGTAACATTTAAGGATCAGGCTGTTTTTCTGCAGCAAGCACAAGTCTAGTCATGGAGATTTATTCTCCCGTTTCACAGGGACAAGCCGTATGGCCTACCACACTCTACCTCTTAAGAAGGACATTTCACAGATATGCTGCAAGCATGGTTGGATGAGTACTTTCTCAAGTTGTGTGGACTAATTCTCAACAGCTACTTGTCAAGCAGGGCCAGATGGTGGAAGGCATTTAAGCATTGCAAGGCCTGAACAAGTATGGAGTTAATATCACATTACTTACTCAGAGAGCCATCTCTTCTTCACAGCACTCTCCCCCAAAGAAACAAATCATAAGTTCCTAAATGACCTTAGATGCGGAGTGCTCCACAGGGAGTCCCAACCTAGCACCAACTATTTTAGCTGCTGAAATAACTTGCCAAAGGTGCATCATTGCAGCTTCCACACTTTTCTGTATTCCCCCGGGGGAATTGCAGCAGCTAGGAGGGCATACGGAAGGGACAGATAAGACATACCACTGAGAGACTGAGCTAGATCTTACTCTGCTGTGTAGTTATAGTCTCAGGATCACAAAGGTGGAACTCCAACTCCTTCAACAGCCTTGCAACACTAAACAGAAGGGGTATTTACAGCCTTTAAAAAAACCTAGTCTTCATTGCCTGCAACCCTACAGCAAGATTGCTTGCCATCTGCCTAATTAAATTGACCATTTGTCCCTATTAGAGGCAGCTGTGCTACTTAAAGCAATTAAGGTGGCACAGGAGGGAAGTGACATTTTTGGTTGGGGAAGAGAGTGTTTGCAGCACTGACAGCATTGGAACATTCATTACTGTGAAGAGGTGACATTCTTAAGTACGTAAAGAAAAAAGGCATCCAACAAACATGAGCCCTTTCAGAAGTTCCGATTCAAGAAATGTGTTTCCTTAAAGGTGTCCTTTGTTCCTATCAAGGAGATTTGCACCAAATAAAAGAATTGTGCCTCTGACAATACAAAGCATTCATAGTCACTGGCCACAGTTTTACAGCATACGCATTTGTGTTTTGATATAGGACAGCTGTGAGCTAGCAACAGTAATAAATCTGAATGTTAGCACAGATCATTTTCCAAGTTTTAGGTCAAATGCTATCAAATTTAACTTATTAGCTCATTAAGATAAAACAAGCCCTTTTGTCATTAGCTTTCTGATTAGTTGCCTGGTTCCAGGACCTGGGACACACTAAATAGGTTCCTTTTTTCCTGTGGCATAGTGTGAATGCTTCATGCCCACTGGTTATCCTTATAAATAATATACAGGGAAATCACTGCTTGAGCCCTTGCTAGAAGAGGGGAATGTGATGATTTCAGCATGTTTCAAAGAGACATTCCTAAAATAGCTAACTGTTCTGTAATTTTATCACAGTATGAGGCCTGAGCTTAGTGGTTATGTTCCCTGATTTGCAACCATACTGGTTTTGGTCTTGTCAGACTTCAAGCTACGTAATGATAGGCTTTTGAGCTGGATACTTTGAGAGTAGAGGCATTTGTGTTTCGTAGGTGGCAGCATTCCCTATAAGCAAACATGAAAAACGGCCTGCAGCCTTGCAGAGCTCTTTGCCGCAGGAAAGTGACCTTTTGTTCAGCGCAGAGTGCAGCATCCACAGGCACAGCCCTTTGCAGGTATAAGACGTGGGAAAGAAAGAGTTGTGCCATATGGGGAGAGGTAAAATAGTCACCATTGTAGAAAGGAGGACTTGAGTGGAATCCAGAATGCCTGGAAGAGCTCCAGCAAATAAAATTTAGTGAAGCTGTATGTCACATCTCAGGTCTTGTGCTGGGGTAAGCTGTAAGGAAGATATAAAAAAAAAAAAAATTTACCTTCTTTTAATATGTTTCACAAAATGTGTTCTTATTTTAGAGTCTACATATCGTCACCAGGCTACCATTGATGATGAAGTGGTTTCCATGGAGATACTAGATACAGCTGGTCAGGTGCGTGGGTACATGTAATATTATCCAATACCTTGGCTCAGATAGACAGCAGGGAAGGGGAGTGCGGTGGTGGTGGTGGTGCAGTTCCACATCTGGGGACAGAGATTTGCTTCTGAGCAGAGCTCCCTCTCCTCCACCACCTGGCATGCTGCATCCAGATCTTCTGCAAGGGACTGTGCTTAGAGTTTTCAAACACTGGAAGACAAAAAAAAGTCAGGTTTTACAGTGGGATTAAAATGATTTTGCTCTCAGTCCTTGATTCAGGGCCAACCCAACATCACATTATTACTATGCACAAAGTCATGGTGTATTTCTTGCAGTCAAGTGATGAGGCTTGACAGACTCAGTCCATGATTTCCACCAAAGCAAAGAGCAGTTTTGTGATAGCCACGTCCCCCTTCCTTCCAAAACTTGGCAGATGCTCATGTCACACAGTCCTATGCATTTTGTGCACTGGTATTATTCCACAGAGACCCTGTTCCAATTGCCTGCTACCAGCCCGCCCACAGGCAGCCCATGACACCTTGGTATAGTAGATCTCCTATGCTACATAATAAAAAAAGGCGATGTGCATAAAGTAAAACAGATATACATGGCTTTGCAGGACCAACTTCTATCTGAAGGCCTGGTGTCATCTTCATAAATCAAATTCCTAAGGCTGGTGTCTGTCTTTTCAAAACAGGAGGATGCTATTCAGAAAGAAGGACATGTGCGATGGGGTGAAGGCTTCGTGCTGGTTTACGACATCACGGACAGAGGCAGCTTTGAGGAAGTGCTGCCACTAAAGAACTTGTTGGATGAAGTTAAAAAACCCAAAAATGTCACCCTGATCCTGGTGGGAAACAAAGCAGACTTGGATCACTCCAGGCAGGTCAGCACAGAGGAAGGTGAAAAGCTGGCCACAGAACTAGCATGTGCTTTTTATGAGTGCTCTGCTTGCACAGGAGAGGGCAACATTATGGAGGCCTTCTATGAGCTCTGTCGTGAGGTACGGCGTCGAAAGATGGTCCAGGGCAAGACTCGGAGACGCAGCTCCACCACCCACGTCAAGCAGGCAATTAATAAGATGCTTACCAAAATCAGCAGCTAAAAAGAGCTGTACTAAGCCAGGGAAGCATTTTAGAGAATATTAGCTTGGAGTAAGGACGAGGCAGGCAGAGCACATTTAATTGAAAATGGTCAAAGCTTTGCAATTAAAAAAATAGAAAAGACAAACCACACTACTTTTTTGGGTATGTATTTAGCCACACTGCTTCTGGCTAACGTGGAAAAAAAAAAAGGGAAAAAAAAAAAAAGCAAACTCCAAAGGACTAAGATGATTGTGGGGATTGGCACTGACAGAATGTCTTCTGCTTCTACAATGCTGGCTCCAGTCCCCTGCAAGTCAGTAGTGCCTAAACATCATTTCCAGCCAGCCAGCTGCTCAGTAGCCATTGGAGAGTAAGATTCAGTCCTCAGCCCATCAACAACCATCACAAACGGTGTTCTCAAGGACTGAATACACAGAGGCTGCTGTGTTTTACCAGAAAGTTCATCTGACACCTTTCACCAGCTCTAAATTGGCGCATTGTGTGCTTTTACTCCAAACTGTCCTTCCTTCTTGTTATTTTTGTCAAATCTATGAGTGCTGATGTCCTTAGCAAGGTAAGCAAAAATATAGGAAAGGTCTTTTTCATGGAGCGTTGAGCCAGCAGGACACACATTTCAACAGAGCTGAAGTTCAGCTGCTTTTCCAGATCCTCTGAAACTGCAGAATTCATCAAGAAACAATCAGCTAGTCCAGTGGCATTTCAGCATTTCCCCCTCAAAGTGCAGTACTGTACTTGGGAAATGGGAGTGTAAGTGTTGGGAAATTAAACTAAAAAATAACCACATTACTATTGTTTTAGTTATGGGTAGATTTTAGCTTTTGTTTACTTTTTTGTTTTGGTCTTCAATTCAAGTAGTTCCTCTTATTCTATCTTATACCGAAGAAGAACTAAATCCATGGCAAGGCAAGTATTTAAAGTCTAAGCTGAAATGTAAATCAGATGTGAATGGCCTCTACCATATCAAAAGGCCATAATTTCTAGCTGTTTAAACTTCCAGATGTTGCTTGAAGCACTCTGTCATTTAAACCAGCTCAGGTTTTTTGTGACTCCATCTGGCACATTCAATTGCAAGTACATTTTATCAGATTTGCGTGCCTGGGATAAATGATGTCCAGTTTTTTTTCTCCTCCCTTCTCCTCCCTCATGCATCTAATTTAAGCCAGTTTTGCCTTGTTACTTGACTTGTTAACTGTATGCTAAGAGATGCAAGAACCAAGACTGAAAGACTTTCATTCAGTTTGTGCTCATCTCCCACCAGTTGTGTTGCATCCCTTTAGGCAGAGCGGTGTGCAGCTCAGGCTGGTATCATGTAGAACCACAGCCAAAGGTTGGGATGACAAATGGGAATATTAGCAGTATTCTCCTTTGAGCAACAGCCCTCTTGTAGCAACTACTTACAACTTTATTCTCCACTGCTTAGTACTTCATATGGTTATTTGGCTCTGTGAGGAAGTAACACCAAAAGGCTATCAAGTGCAAATTGCCACAGATGTAGGAGAGTGAGGATTTCTGGTTGGATGGCACTTTATACAGTTATAGGTAACCATATAAGAGGTGGATCTGGCTGGAGAATCAAGCATGTATATCCCTGTGGACAGAGAAAAGTCCCAAGTCAGGACTTTTCAAAAGGATTCACTTAAAGATACTTTACCAAAGTAGATTTTTTTCTAACATCCTCTCACCCATACCTTTTACTCAACCAGCATCAAAGAACATTACATTCAGGGGTATATTTTATTTGTACTGTGGTTTATTTTCTCTGTTCCCCCCATTCTAGATAGTGAAAATTCATTCCACTCTTCTGGAATCAATATCTATATTTTAGTCCTTATATTCAGGTATGTTGCCGTACACCAGCTACACACATTGCAATGGAAACTTCACCATGTGCTTATGGGCAGGAGGTTCTTGCAACAACTGACGTCACTATCTCCATGACACACCTGTGTCCAAACTATTGGTCATATCTCTTATCCTTGTTAACATAAAAAAAGGAGAAGTTTTGCCATTTTTAGTCCTCTTAGTAATGCAGAATCAATGTGAGTGAAAACGAAAGAGCTGGTGCCTGTCGATGCACCAGTAGTCATTTGCTGAAGGTCTGAACTTGCAAACGTGATTGTTCCATTAGGAGCCAGAGTGAGCATTTCACTAAGTCATTCTATTATCTTTCAAATTGGTGCTGTTGCACAAATCTGAAGTAAACAAAATCCTTGCCCACAATCCCATGGCAACATAGCTGAGAGGAAAGTCTTTATGTCAGTATGCTAAACAGTTGATTTATCCCTCTCTAAGACAACTTCAGCAGTTCTTTTCTCTGAAGAATTTCTTGGGGTTCAGAGCTGAACTGCATTTATAATACAAACAGGTAATATATGAATGATAAGAGAAAATAAATTAATATTCATATTAGGAGAGTTGCAAGGAAGGACGCTAAGTTATGGCCCTAATACTTTCCAAAAGAATCACAGCAAATTATATCTTCTTTTATAATGTCTGTATGGAGAAATGATACAATCCTGGTGAAAGAAAATGTTCCACTGTGCAAACATGACTTGTTACACAACGAACCTCTAATAAAAATAGTAACATTCCTTTGCAAAGACTGAATTTGGAAACTGCCAAACATGATAAACGCTTGGTCAGAAAGGAGGCTGCTATTTTGTGACCTTTCCTCCCACACAAACACAAATTTATTTACTTAATTGCGCATTATTTTTTTTTTCCTTGGTGTAATGGGCTGCTTGTCAAGCCAGTTACAATATAGTATATTATAATCTGTTGATACATAGTATTACATAGTATTAAACGCAATCTGATTTGCAGTTGCTCACAGTGTTGCAACATATTATTGGCTATGCTATAAATGTGTCATATTTCTACAATGTGCAAATTGAGCCCAAAAGTGCCCAAGCACTGAAAAGGCCAAATGCAACGTGAACCCACATTCGGTAGCCTTTCCGCAGCAGACATCAACAGTTTAAATTCTGTTTCTACTGCTGCTATTTAAATGTACATATATGACACTAACATGAAATTCCTCTCCTCTGCCTGTTACCATTTCTGCGGAGAGAGGATGGGAAGGTTGATAAACAAAAAGGGGGAGGAAAGGTGAAATGGATACTTGTTACCTACAACAAGTTGATTGTCATTTATGAAGTTTTAAAATATTTATCTTCAATTAATGAAGAGTTAGTCATGCCCATGCTGCAAGACCTGGATCAGGAACCAAGACTTCCCTGGAACTTTGAGAATCTTCATATCTGGGGGTTCGGTGCAACCACGGATGGAAGTGAGGATCAGCCACAGGGTTTGCACCTGGATCCAGACAAGTTGTCTCCAAACCTGGGGATAGTTGCATCTGGCAGTTTGCTACAAGGCTAGTTGATTTTTATATATATAATGATCTGTATGCATTTTTACATTAAAAATATGAAAGCTTGTGCTTGTAGATAATATATAAGAAAAAATAAAAATAAAACCAAAAAGTTAGTGCTCTCTGTACTGAACTCTTACATGCTGATCTTCTTCCATTCATTGTCTCCAAAGTGTTGTCTTCCAGCTTTTGAGGGGCCAGTTCCAGAAGTCCTGATTCAGTTCTTATTTAATCTTTATCTAAAGAAAACAAATAGTGAATTTTGCCTGAATAAGCACTTCAGCATTTGGATCAGTTTTTTTGAATTTATTTGGCTGCTAGGCCTGGAATCGAGAGGTCGGGCAGCATCTATAGTGAAGTACAGAACCGAATGTCCTTGCTAACTATTTCAAGGCTGATAAAAAAAAAAAAAGCTACAGTGCCAGAGTTGTTAAAGGACCTCAGTGAAACCCACCACCTAAACTCTGTCCTGCCAGCTAAATAACATGGATCTTGATCCCAAGTTTCTCAGGTAAAATTTTGGGCTAAGAGGTCTGGGAGATTTATGCCAGCGATTTGGACAGAGACAACTTTTCACCTGCTGCCAGCTATGCCCATTTTCCAAGGATAACAGTGCTGCTGTTCGGAAGAAAAGGTACATTATATCAGTGGTATACAATCACACATAGCACAGGTACTAAGCTATAGCAGAGGAAGCTTCATCACAGAAGAGGGGAACCAGCTGTAATCCACTCTCTTTTCTTCCTTCAAACTGGGGCCAAGTAACCCAAAGCATGATCATAAACAGCTGAATGGTGGTGTGGGCTATAAGAATGCCACCTCTGACAGAAATCTGGGTGCAGGATCTATGCTGTGAGGTGAAACCTCCCAAAAGTAGGTAAGGCATCCTGCCAGTCACTGTCTGCCTCTAGCACTGTGAAGCATCCATGACTTATATCAAGCTGCACTAGAAGTTGCTCCAGTCAAAATAATGTTTTCTGCAAAATAAGTAGCTTCAGTCATAAAAGCTATGTATAAACAGTGTTTGGGGTTCCTTCTATCTTCCTCTTGAATGGCTCAACCATTTGCATATCTTGAGAAGAAAAGAAAAAAGATAGAGGCTTTAATTAAAAAAGGCTCCTTAGCATTTTGATGTATCTGCCTCTATGTTCTTTGAAAAATTAAGCATATTATGAAAACAGTGTCATCTCAGAAACTCTGATGTTATGCACTTTATTTCCATTACAAATGCCAGGCACTAATTACTGCAGGGTTATGAAAATACAGAGCAGCAGCTTGTCGTCCTGCGCTTTGCAAGGTTACTAGGAGACGATAATGATGGCTTGTGTGAGGCCAGTTCAGTCTGGTTTCTGTTAACACAGCTCCACATGAGGAAAGCTGGTACTGCAGCTTGCAGCAGGAAGAAATGGCCTAAGTTGCCGGGGCCGGCCTCCACTGACTCCAGCGGGGTTATGCACGGGATGGGTCAAGCCCCTAGTTCACAGTCATGGTAGCCAACGTGGAGAAAATGCTCCAATAGCCAACCTCTCCCACCCACTTGAAGAGCCTCTCCTCCATTTTTTGGCCTGAAGTAGGCCAGTAGGAAACTGGGAGGTAAGTTTACACTGCTGACTGTCATCTATTAAA